CCTGCCGCTAATGAACCCGTGTTGGTTGCCCCTAAGCATAATTTCCCCTGCTGGCCCCTCATGGACATGTGCCAGGATAATTCTCTCAAAAAGCTCTTCTCTGTGGATGCTACTGATCTGCTGTAAAAGATGCCAATCCTTGTCCAGAATAGGTACCATGCTGTTAAACGCCACTTTGCATCCTGGCTCGTGGAATTCGTGGACAAGGAGGAGATGGGTACAAATCTGGAGTGCAGCGCTTCCCATTTACTTGTTTTATTTGAGCTCTTAGCCAATGCTCCACAGGGAACTTGGGGAACCATGTACTGGTTTTACAGAGTATACTTTTGCCTTTGGCTTCTTTTCCACCTTGATTCTTTTGTCAGAGCTTATATCCCCCTTCTAAATGTCCCACCCGGGAGGCACCAGTTAGAATGAACAAGATTAATGTCAACTACACTCACAGTATGGAATAAAAGAGAACATTTTTTTTTTTTACTCAGGGTCTCACTTAAACTGTAAAAATAAAGTATGGGTTTGTATTGGCAAAGGCTTCCCTTGATCTGTGAATTTCAAGGAAGACAAAATTATCTGTGTTCTTTGTGAAGCAGCAGTTGTTTTAGTGGGGAAGAAAGCCAAGACAGCTGTTAGCTAGTTTAATGTAAAATACTGACAGTGACATACCAACAACAATACTAGCAGTGAGGGACTTGGCCAAACTGCAAAATCGCCAAATGTTATTAATGCCGTTTGTAAAGAATTTGAAAAACTGTAATAATCTAATCTTTACAAATGGGGCAAAATGTTTTATTTCAACCGATCCTGGTCTGCCGTGTTTTATAAGATATTACAGCAAAAGCAACATAATCCCTCCGTTTCAAGGGAGACCTTTGAAAACAATTAACTTTTGACATGGATGGGATGATCCTGGGCAGGGTTTACGGTTTTATAGAGGAGAAGCTGGCCATGTTTAGTTTGGATGCAATATCTGCCCTACTGGGGAAGGAAAGGCCGTGAGATTTCGACAGCTTCTTAGAAGTCTTCAGTTTAAGCTACTTGAATGAATGGCTTTGTTCACATGACCTGTAACATTCCCAACTCCATGATTGGGGAATATGAAACAGTTTTTTCCACTTCCTTCACACAGGATGAAAGACAGCATGTGCAGTGGTTAGAAACTAAACAGGTTTTCCTGACTTGGACACC